AGGGAGGGAGGGAGGGAGGGAGAGAGAGAGCATAAAAGTTCTTCAATTCTATGTCGAAATCATTAAAATAGCTCTTTGTAGTTTATCTTGGAGAATAAAATGGAGGACAAGACAGCTAGAATAGAAACTACTAGAATTCTTTTTTCTTTTTTTAATGAGAACTAGTTGAAATTGAGCAAGCTCCATCAATGGACCTCTGAATAGATGCAGCTGAGAAGCAGAGTAAAGTAGGAGTGAGAAAGAGAGAAATGGAAGTCCGAGAAGTTGCCTGAAGAAACTAAAATGGTTTGGTCACATCAGTCAACGCTAATAACAATCAGTATATAGTCGACTTCAATAGATAATTATCCACTAACCGACTGAGTGAACCAAGACAGTTACCAACTATCATGTACAGAGTAGCCTATCACCCACTCTCTTCTTCCATGTCTCATTATAGTTGGATGCAACTTAATTTGACTACTACTCCTTTATCGGTTATAACCATTGGGAACTGGAATTGAGGCTTACTTGATTGATTCAGAGCACTTGGATTAGATATTGTGAGCAGAAAGTTTTTCCAAGTGTTATGGCAATTATTGGGCTTATGAGAAAGAACTGTTAGTCAAGAAGTCCAATTCTTCTTTATAAAGGAAATCTTTATCACTTCAAGTAAGATGTTGAATTTGGCAAATTGCTATACTAACCAAATAGCACATAGAAATATGGAAGATAAGAAAAATAGAAGATGCTAGTACGCTTGAATTATTCGAATTACTACCTGGTATATGTAACCGCAAATGATTGCAGAAGCTAATAGTAATATTGCACGCATATTTGCAGCCTCCACAGATGTATAAGTAAGCCCAAAGAAACCAAGGGCAAGTAACAAGTAAGCAGCAATGAACGTTCCCGTGCGGCTTACACAAAATTATAAAGCAAAGTGAGTCAACTTTAATCTGTAATTCCATGAACAAATAAATATAAGGTTACAGCATGAGCACTGTCTAAATGCAACTTTATAAGGGAAAATCACAGGAACAATTCATGTTCACGAACTGAAATAAGAGCTCAATCTACACATTCACGAACTCACTCAGCAAATTAAAATATATCACTCTCAATTAACATAAGATAAAAAGAGAAAGGAAAAAAAAGTAATGGTGCAACTTAGCGGTATAAGCTTTTACCTGCCAACAATGTTCACAACTGACTCTTTCTTGTCCTTATCAGCTCCTGTGTCAAAATCATAAACGTCGTTGCTGCCCATATTTCAGAGATATTGATAAAGAGTGAAAGAGCCATGGAGGAGATATTTAATAATGGCATAATAGTCCTTAAGTGAAACACAACCATAAAAAACCACACGGAGTACTACAAGATACAATTCTTTTTCTCCTAAGTTAAGTAAAATGTATTTCTATCATAGTGCACGTCTGCACGAGGATAGTGTCAAGAGTATGTATAAATTGGGATTGTCGCTCAACCACTGTCATCTATTAAGTTAGCCCATCTATCCATACAACACTGAGTTCTCCCTTTACAAAAGTATAAATCAAACGAAAAGATCCCAATACTTCTTACATCACTATCACATATTTCGAAACAATCTCAAGTTGTACAATTCTTGCCAATGCACTTTGGAATTACACATAAGGGCTGAGAGAACAGAAAAATAATAAAAAGTAAATAGAAAAAAGGTAGAGGAGTAGAGGAAAAAAGAAAGATTATTTCAAGAACTAACCCCTCTAAGCTAAACAGCTTACCCCTGCCCATTCTTTATTAAGTGTTGCAACAACATGAACCTAAAAGGACTCTATGAGCTCACTTGCTAACATGCTGGTTGAAGAGGATTTGATTATATCTAATCGTCATTTAATCAAGTGCTTCATGAGCTAGATGACTTTGACTAGATTGTATGCACATCAAAGTAGTTCAACCTTGCCACCAAGATCAAGTAGTAAATAGAATTCTCAATGACAGTAAAATCCACACCTTAAATTAAGCCAAGTGATGATAAGAACTGACGACACCAACAGCATAAAATAACGGTTAGCAGAAAAGATGCCTGTCTGCAAATAAGCAGCTGCACTCCCCACCTATTAATGAACAGCAAAATAACAGTAAGATTTAAAAGGACATTCAACCACCAGGCCAACATTGAGCAACATGGTCGTTCTCTATCAATGGAACACATAAATTTCCCCCCTATCTAGTATCCATCATCACTCTCGTGAATTAAGGTTTACCTGTTCCCGAATGACAAAATTCAGGCTGTTAAATTTGTTATTTTGTCATGCTGTTTACAGTAATTTCTCTGTGCAGTTCTTGTGAAGTTGAAGTCATAGGTTCTAACAGCTTATCTAGTTTATTCACCATGGCGATTCTGCCTCGTATCCAATCTGCTAATGGAACTTTTCAACAAATATCATCGAACGATCTACTGCACTTCTCTTGCTAAGCAATTCAAGACAACATCTTTAAGAAGTATACACAGGCAGCATTGTATAGTTTGGTTTCATACAACTGGCACTCTTAATGATTGCATGTATTTTAAATCTTAATAAACATGTGAAACAAGTTCGGCCCCGTACGTCTAAACCCCAAATTCAAATAACATATCTATTTGAAAATATTAAAACTCAAAAGGAGCCTCTAAAATACTAACATAGTTTAATAACTTAAAAACTTACAGTTAGAGGAACTAGTGCTACGGAGTATATTGGTAATTTGATTGCCCTCCATATCAAAGTAGCTTGTGAAATATTTTCTTCATTTTCCTTAGAGGTAGTAGCATCATATCTACATGTGAAGAAACCTCTCTGGCTTGAATGCCGATGCTTGACTTCCTTCTGCCTAAAGTTAATCTCATTGCCAGATCTTCCAATTGATCTTTGTGTGACGTGTGATGCTAGGGAACAAGTCTTAAAAATAAAA